CCCCCCACCCCAATCACATGATTCTGGCCGATGGCCCCAAGGAATTCTGGAACTGTGAAATTGCAGTAGGTCTTTCTTCAGGTCGTATTTCTTATAAGTGAGTGCAAATCCGAACACAAAAAGAAGTTTACAAGCATTTTTGGATTCACAGCCAACTCCTCATCAGACTAGGCTCCTCTCCCTGGCCGTCACTGTCCCTGGTTCCAGAGAAAGCTCTTAATTAATCACTTGGATGGTGCTGGTCCACCGTCCCACGCCCAATGGTTTGCTGATCCTTCCCCATTCCCATCTGGGACCCCGATGCGTCTTTGCATTGATCTAAGGCCATCTGACCCCAGGAAGCAACTGAAACAGCTCATCGATTGGTGAAATAGGCCATTGATCTGCTAGGGGGTCCCGGGACACTCGTTGAGCCTCAGCAGTTCCGCCCAACCGCTCGCAGCCCCCAGCCTCTGCCCCACCCCCCAGTTTGACCATTGCGGTCACCTCTCCATGCAGGAAAACCTCACTGATCCACGCGGTGAGACAGACACCATTTCAAAGAGCTGAGCACAGACAGTCGCATCAGGACCACAAATAGATACGTTGTAGTGTGTTTGCATGTCGATACGTGTGAATTAACAGGGGATTTTCATTACACGGCTTTCCTCGATCCCGGCTCACGCGTGTTAAGCTGTTCACGAGGGCTGTACCCCTGTTTGAAACACTCAGGGAGGGTGTCTGTACCACTCTGACGATGCCCCCGCCTTCTCCTCCGCCCGACCTCAGGTACAGACATCTCTCCACACACCCAGCATCACAGAGACAAAAGTAGACAGTCTCGGACCCTTTGCAGGGGAGCTCGAGAGGGAGACGTCCTGCAACCTCCCCCCCCCAACGGCACCCCCCAGGAGCAAGTGAAATGCACAGCACATCGCAGACTGCGGTAAACATGCGAAACCAGCATCCCACAGAGACACATCCTGGGGGGGTCAGCACACTACATTTGCTCAAAATTTAACAGATCACAGTCCAAAAACAAAACAATAAAAAACTCAGTGGAGAAAAGCTTCAAAGCTCAAGGCAAACTTTTGTCTCATATGTTTGGACAGATGTGTAGGAGAGACACGCAAAAACATTCCTCTACCAAATAAACAGGGTTTTTTGGGAAATCACATAAACCAAAGAAGCTTGACTGCTCTCCTAAACAACAGCCATGATGCTCCCTAAGAAACAGTCACTGCTGCCTGCCATCTACAGCTACTGTTTAATCTGAGCCTTTCCCAGCAAATATCAGTTTTGGTGTGGGAGGACAGTGCCCCCACGGCCCCCAGCACCCATGCAGAGAGAAGTAGACGGTCGTACCTGTTTGCCAGACGTAGACAGACTTGGCTTCCTCCGTCTGTGCCTGGACGTCCCAGCCGGCGAGGCTTAGCAGGACAGCTCCGCACAGCCAGGGGAGGGTCCCCCCGCCGCTTAGCCGCATGGCTCCGCCGAGGCGTGTAATACCCCCACCGCGGAGAAGAAAAGGGGACCAAAATGGGACACCAGAGGAGGAAAAAGGAAAAGGGAGCAACCGCAGGAGTGCTGCTGGCTTTGTCTCCTTCCTGCGAAGGGCTCCGGTACTCCTCCAGGAAAGGTAACCGGGGCGACGGATGCTCCCGCTCGCCTCCGCCTGCTGTCCGCACACAGAGGGAACAATAGAGTCCGCTGCTGTTTCGGCTGCTGGCTCCGCCACCGCTGCTGTGCCCTGCGTGTGCCGAGACTCATGCAGCACCTCCCCTCGCTGGGTCTGCGCACACACACACACAGACACACACACACACTGGCGCCTGCGCGTGAACACACACACAGACACATGCACACACTCAAGGGAGGCTGCTTCACCCACCCCAATGCAAGGCAGCTGGCTCTGTGGGGGGGATTGGAGTCGGGGGGGGGGAGCAGGGGGTATCTGCCTGTGGTGTGTGTCTGGAGGGGGGGGGGGTTACTGCTCAGGGGAGCAAGTTATTCAGAAGCCGGAGTGAAACAGAAGCTGAGGAGGAGAGCGGTTAAAAGAGGCGTCCCGAGATTGAAGGATAGATGAGGGCATGTGTGTGTGTGAAAGAGAGAGAGAGAGAGAGACGGAGAGGGTGAGAGAGAGGGAGGATGAGATGGGGGGGGTGAGAGGGCTATAAAAAAACTCAATGGGAGGGAGCGAGATGGCAAAATTTTGCTGAAAGAGTATAGTGAAGATCCCTATGAATTATTGATGACACTGCAGGTTGACCTTGCGTGATATTCAGGCCAAATATTCAACGCGAAGGTACAGCACCAGAGAGGTGCTTAGGTGGGTGAGAAATGGCAGCGAGGGGCTTCAGACGATGGGGAGCAGTTTACAGATGGCGCCTTATGCAGCCATGAAGCTCAAGTCAAATCCTGTAAGGAGGCGGGACTTTATTATTCAGAAGTATACTTGGGGAATTGTAACGTTTTCAAAAGACGCGTGACTTTGTTCAGGATTCTGAAGGTTACGTTCATTTATCGCATTAAGTGCCAGCAGGAGTAACTGAAATCATTGTTCATCTAATAGTTTTTTTTCTAAGTCTTTGTGTAACATGTAGAGGAGCTCATTGCTAGCTTTGAGGTCTGGGGTGACAATGACATTCCAAATTCCAAGGCACAGCCTGCCAGAAGAGAACCGACTCAGCCTGGACCTCATCCAGATACGGCCCTGAATCACACCCACTGCTGTCGTTTGACACTTGTTACATTAACAGAAAAGCTCACCCCAGCCCTATTATCACCTGCCTCTCCCGGCTGATGGCTCCTCTGTGGAGCAGCTCCTTTAGAGTACGTCTGCCGTTTACTATAGATATTGACTAGTACAGGCTATTTCCTTTACAGTGCAGCCCTTTACAGCCTGTCTTTATACTGAGAATTCTCTCTAATCTAGAGAGCGCCCACTACAGGCTGGGCAAATCTATACAGAGGCTCCTCCATCCTAGGCTGCTGTCTCCGGTGATTTTATACTCATTGTTTAACAAAACAGCCTGCTAGACCCGCCCCTCCATCCCCGCCCACCCTTCTCACAATCATAATTATCCCCGTTGCTATTTGAGGGGGGGGGGTTCCTTTGTCTCAGACACTACCGCCTCTGTGCAAGGCACCATTATCCACTTCTAGATGCTTCTAGAACCTTGACCCCAGTGGTGGGCAAAGGATTCCACAGGATAGCTTTGACCCACGGTCATGAACATGTGATCACTGAGTCAAGGCTTGCGTACTCCACTTTACTGTTGCCTGCTTAACTACGACTATTTATATTCAGTGAAAAAAATTAGCGCTAGTTTATAGGACCAGCGAGTGTCTAGCCCATAAGGTTTCCACCAGGTACCCGTGTTTTATAGATAGATAGTGTGTGAGTGTCTCCAAATGACACAGTGTGTGCGTGTCTCCAAATGACACAGTGTGTGAGTGTCTCCAAATGACACAGTGTGTGAGTGTCTCCAAATGACACAGTGTGTGCGTGTCTCCAAATGACACAGTGTGTGAGTGTCTCCAAATGACACAGTGTGTGCGTGTCTCCAAATGACACAGTGTGTGCGTGTCTTGTGATGAACTGGCACCCAATGTGTCCCTGTGTTTCCTGGCTCCAACCGGACAACTAGTTATGGAAGATGAATGGACGAAGGATCATTGTAAGTTTGACCTTGGACTAGACTCCTGAAGGTTCAGCTGGGTCTTTCTCTGCTTGCCCGGTCTAAGCAGCGATGAAGGCCACACGGGTGATTCTCGGGCCACCTCCTTGCTCACCCTCTCGCTCATTCTCCTAATGGTCCAGCACCCTTGGTGGGGAGAAGCCGGTTTAGAGATTCATTGCAAGAATTGAAAAAGAAGGGCGGGATCGGATTATGGATTCCATGGCTCCAGATGAAAGCCTGCTGAGAATGAGATTAGCCCTCACAGGAGGAGAGGCACGGCTCTGGCTCTGGCGAGCAAATACCGGCACTGGGGTCTTAAATGAGATAATAGGATGCAGGCAAGAGACTGTGGGAGAAAAGCATCAAGGATGGTGGAACAACCTACGTACTCATATAACACATTTACCGCTCAGGCTACGTAATGGAATATAAAATGCATTAAATTATATCATAAATCCATCCACCCATCTTCTACCGGCTTACCCTGTTCAGGGTTACGTCCCATCCCAGGCTGCAAGGGCAAAAGGTCACACCCTATATTTAGGCCAAACCTAAATTTCCTTCTGGATAAATAAAGTCAGTCAGTCAGTCAGTCTGTCTGTCTGTCTGTCTGCCTGTCTGTCTGTCTGTCTGTCTGTCTATCTATCTATCATCTATCTATCTATCTATCTATCTATCTATCTATCTAGATGTACACCCTTCATGCCAAAACTAATACATATTGTTTTGATATTTTCTACCTTCTGTCACTCTGTTTTAAATGGTTTAAATCTTGCACCCCGAAACCCAAACCTTTCCATCTATACTGGTCTGATTTTTCTTCAGCCCTGCAGATGAACACAAAAAGACTAACGAAGGCGATGAGTAATTACCCAGTTCACCTCGTCTAGCAAATGTTCCCATTTAATGTTTGTTTTCTTCTGCTTAATTGGACAAGGTATGAACGCGGATGAAGCTGCTACCCACGGCGTGTAATTAACTGCTCGACAGCAGACTGGTGAATTCCTTTGCCAGGCGATGCTGTCGGACAAAAGGTCACCGTACGACGCACCTGCCCTGGCAGTCACACGCGATGCGTCGCAATAATTTTTGTTGCATTTATGTCATATTAAAAATATCAGAAATGCAGCATCTCTTTAATCAGTGCTAAAGGACTGATACCTGACAGGTAGCAATGTGTCTTGCTTAAAGCTTAAGCTTTAAACTCCCTCAGTTTTGCCCTCAACCAACAGTTAACTTTGACTTTTTTAGCATTCTGGCTAATTGGAGTGTGCTAACTGGAGTTTTCTGTCCTCTCGGGCTATTAAGCTATTAAGATTAAAAGCTAGCTGACCACGTTTGTCACCAATTTGCTCAAACGGCTTTGTCCGCTAATAGTTTGCCGGGTTTCTCTGCCTGACATGGAAACGCTAATGAAACAAGTGAAACGTGTTAAATTGGGAATTAATTGCTACTGCCCAGAGACCGACATCATTGTTTCCCAGGACGTAAACAATGACAATTAAAAAGAAAACACGCGGATTGATAGTCGACAGCATAAACCCCAGATCGTTAAATCATGAAGCAGAAATGACAAAGGCTTGATGATACGGAAAAAGGGCACATTGATACGCAGAAGGTATAGGAACCAAATCGGGGCGTCAGCAGGATACAGCTAAGAATCCAACATGCTGACAATATGAGTGTCATCAGCGGCAGGTTCATGCCAGGGGTGGAACTCACCCCATCCCAGCAACAACAGCCAGAGGATGCAACGTCTACGGGCCTCCACAGGTAGGAGGGAAAGACACACAGGCCCCCAAAAACGCTGGGGTGATTCTCATAGCTCTGCAGATCTTCTCACCGAGCCACCCTGAAGGTATTTTGCCCTTATGAAACAGCCCTCTCGTTTATCGACAGGCCTCCTGGTCAGAACAGCAGTAATAGAGACATCAATGCTCTCGATATTGATGAAACGATAACGTCCTGCTGGAGTGACCATGAATGTTTGAATAGCAGAAAGGTGATGCGATACTGTTGTAGCAATGAGACACTGTTTAGGATTCAGACGATAGACGACATACACCAGAGGTAAAGGAACTTCCCTGGCAGCCTAACATTCTAGTCATAGCGGAGCAGACACAGACACAGCCACGCCTGCAGAGGCTCCCTCAATCATTCATCACATTTGGTATTTTTACTTTCTTAACCTAACCAGGGATTATGCACTAATCAAGAGCCTGGAATCACTGAATGCAGTCCTCAGTTCTCTAATTATTTGACTCTACATAGTAGAGTCAAATAATCAGAACCTTAAGAGCAGGGCTAACACAAATTCAAACGACCAGATCATAGTGAAAATATCAATGTAGATGCACTGGAGGTGACCTTTCCTGTCTCCTACACGAACGTCTACAGATCACAGCCCCAGAATGAAATTCAGAAGGGGTGGAGCAGAGCTCCATGTGTCAGAAATCAACCGTTAACCTGTCTTAGGGTAATTGCCAGAGAGCTGAGTGCCGTACACACAAGGTCACAGCATTGCCCAGACCTGAAGCCTGGTCTCAGTCTTTTTTAAATCACACTAAATGAGTCGTGATGCTATTAATGCATCAATGATGTTGGCACGGCTCACAAACGAGGGCCCACCACCTTCCACAGCAACAGCTCGCTAGACTAATTATCCGACCTGTTGTCACAACGGGAAAGTGCCACGGCTGCAAAAATACGGAGGGAGCACAAACATTTTGCATCGCAGCGTGAGACTCAGAACCCGTTAACGTCGCTGCAGGTTTTTCAAAGGCGGCCCGAAGGCAAATGTATAGCTTTGATTAAGGTTAGCAATCCAAGGGCTGTTACGTTACGATACTGCAGAAATCTAACAATCTTTATGTTTCTAGAAGGCATGCTGGGAAAAAAGCCACCCTAGGAACACAAAAGCAGGTTGTCTCTTCG